TTGAAAGAAACCCACTTAATCAGCACCTCGGAACAGCGGGCGGAAAGCCGCGTGTCCCGGGATGCTCCGGGCCGGAGCCACGGGAGCGGGAAGGGCTTTGGGCCTGGCGACGCCAAAGGCCTGGGCACGTTCTAGAGGTAGCAGCTTGCTGGACGTTCCCAAGGGAATGTTTTTCCAGAGGGAGCCCGTGTCTCCACGCGCGGGAAGGCGCCGGCCAGCGGGGCAGTGCGCAGACTTCCCGCATGGAATCCCCGTCCCGTTCACGCGCTGCGAGCGCTCGAGGATCTGCTGCGTGTCCTCCCCGCAGAGCGAAGCCGTGCGTGGAGGGATGTGCTCGTCCCTTCTGTCGACGTTCGCTGTAATCGTGACAGCTCCGCGGCTCTGCTCGGCGTCCTCGCACGTTGTCGTGGGCGTTAGATGTCAGTAACTGGGTCTGATTTTCCTGCTCCTCATCTCCATCCGTTTGCTCCGTGCTTGTCCTTGGCCGAGGGACCTTCCCGCGCAGCTGCTGTGAGGAGGAGGGGGACGGAGGCTCCCGCGGAGGCGCTGGCTCCGCGCGGGGACCGGGGACACAAACCGGGGGAGGGTGACGCCGCGCCGTCCAGGGGGACCTGGGCAGGACGGAGAGCTGGGCACAGAGCAACCTCCCGAGGGTCAGCGAGGACCAGTGCGGGGAATAACCCCAGGCACCAGCGCAGAGCAGGGCTGACCTGCTGGAAAGCAGCTCCCTGAGAGGGACCTGGGAGTCCTGGTTGGCCCCGGGTTGCCCGGGAGGCAGCAGGGTGCCCTCGTGGCCAGGAGGGCCCATGGGCTCCCGGCCGCAGCGGGAGCGTTGCCAGCGGGAGAGGGAGGGATCCTGTCCCTCTGCTCGGCTCTGCGGAGGCACCGGGAGCGTTGGGGGCAGCTCTGGGCTCCCCAGGACAAGAGGGACCTGGGAGCTGCTGGAGAGGGTCCAGCACAGAGCAATGAAGATGATGGAGGGACTGGAGCATCTATCGTGTGAGGGACGACTGAGCGAGTAGGGTCTGTTCAGCCTGGAGAAGAGAAGGCTGAGGGGGATGTGATCAACATGCGCAAGTACCTGAGGGGAGGATGTAAAGAGGACGGGGCCAAACTCTTCTTGGCGGTGGCCAGTGACAGAACAAGGGGCAATGGGTACAAATTAAAACCCAGGCATCTGTATATGCAGAAGAACTTCTTTCCGGTGAGAGTGACAGAGCTCTGGCACAGGCTGCCCAGAGGCTGTGGAGGCTCCTTCTCTGGAGATCTCCAAACCTGCCTGGGTGCCGCCCTGTCCCTGTGCCCTGGGTGTCCCTGCTGGAGCAGGGGTTGGACTGGATGATCCCTAGAGGTCCCGTCCAACCTCGACCATTCTGGGATTGCCAGATGGGGCACGGGGTCCGTCGCGGGCCTACATAGCGCGTGGGGCTGGCGCCGCGGCGGCCCCGGCGCGGATCGATGCCGCTGCGAGCGCGGGAGCCTCCGAGCCCCGCTCGCTCCCGGGCGCCTCTGCTCTGCTCTCCCCTCGTTCCTCCTCTCCAGGCAGCTGCTCCGTCCACGTCTGCTCGGTTGTTGTCCCCAGCGCAGGGCGCTGCTGTCCCTGCGGCTTGGCCTCGTGGTAGGGTTTTGGTTTAGGGATCCAGGCCGCCCAAGCAGCGACGAGGAGGGTTCGTTTGGGTCGATGTGGGGCAGGGGCACAGGCTGCTCGGCCCTAGGCCTGGCTCTGTCGCAGATCCAGTGCCGCTAACTCTGCATTTCCCTAACTTCCCCTTCTCTTATTTGCTTGAAATAGTAGTGAAAGGAGATACTCCTGTAACTATATCACAATTCAAAATTCTACATGTTAAATTAACGATGCAAATGTTTCCTTGCTGCTACACAACTTGGTGCTTCCTCTAGCCGAGGGTTTCCCTAGTTCCTCATCTTTCCTCTGCGCTCATTTGCACAGAGCGCAGAATTGCCCTGTGCTTCTGCACAGGGGACGGCGCCTGTCAAACCAGGCAAATTAGCCAAATATTCCAACAGAACGGGTTGGTGGCTTCGCTTTGCTTTGTTTTTTCCCCCCACGGCTGCACTGTTGGAACCTCTTTATCTTTGGATCTCTCAGGTCTCCACACTTGATTGAATTCTGCGTAATCTCGGTAAAAGCCGGGGAGATTGATTAAAGCGGGCGCTCGCGAGGACAGGGAGCAAGGGGGCTGCTGATGGCCCTGCCCCGGGACGCGCCAGGCCGCGAACGGGGGAATCGAG